TTTCATTTCATTTCATTTCATTTCATTTCATTTCATTTTTCCATGTGCTGCTATTTCACATCAGAATGTTGGTTAATGTTTCATTAATTATGATCTAATTTACCCACAAGCCCCCAAACAGCTGAGCAGCCGAAGAGGCCAGGAGGAGGCTGGTCATAATGTAATGACTGAAACCGTTTCTCTGCAGGGTTCGGTGGCTATAGCAGGAGCAGTGATTCGCTGGCTGAGGGACAACATGTGCATTGTGCAGTCGTCCTCTGAGATCGGTAATTCTTGAAGCCCGGTTCTGGTACCAGAACCAGGAAGCTTGTGTTGGGAGGAGGTGTGAGTGTTTTACCGCCACCCTGTGGTTTCAGAGCAGCTAGCAGCTGAAGCAGGAACGTCCTACGGCTGCTACTTCGTTCCAGCGTTCTCCGGCCTCTACGCTCCGTACTGGGAGCCGAGTGCCAGAGGGTGAGACTCTCTAACCCGTCTGGTCTGTGGGTCCAAAGCTGTCCGCCCCTAACCTCTGCTTGTTCCCAGCATCATCTGCGGCCTCACCCAGTTCACCAACAGGAGCCACTTGGCATTCGCCGCCCTGGAGGCCGTCTGCTTCCAGACCAGAGAGGTGAGCAGGCATAAAGAACCTTTGGTTCTGCTGAGGTCCAGTTAAGTCTGATGGTTGTCCTGCTGCGTGCCAGATCCTGGACGCCATGAACCAGGATTGCTGCATCCCGCTGCCGGTGCTGGGCGTGGACGGAGGCATGACGGGGAACCGGCTGCTGATGCAGCTGCAGGCCGACATCCTCTGCATCCCCGTCGGTAAGAACGGCCTCCTCAGTTACTCTGGGTTTTAGAACCGCTTCTGTTTCTGTCAGAGACAGTCACCTCTGACCTTTGACCTGTCCACCCTCACAGGTAGCTAACAGAATCACCTTCTGAGTCCAAACATAACAGAGTTGGGATAAAAGTAAATTATTTTTCATGACTGTAATTAAATTAATGTCCTGGTCTGGTTCTGGTTCTGATTCTGTCTGTCCCTGCTTTCAGTGCGGCCCAGCATGTCCGAGACCACGGCTCTGGGTGCAGCCATGGCGGCCGGCGCCGCTGAGGGTGTGGAGGTCTGGAGCCTGAACCCGGATCAGCTGCCTGAGGTCACGGCTGAGCGATACCAGCCTCAGATCAACACCCAGGGTCAGAACCAGAACCAGAACCACACAACACACCGCCTACTGGTCATTTAGCTCAACTGTAGTAATTCAAATTCAAAAACTTTTTATTGATCCCAAAGGAAATGTAATGTAGCCAGAGGTCGTATTAGAGCAGGAGAGGGCGGCTCCCGGCCTGGGCGGCTCCCGGCCTGGGCGGCTCCCGGCCTGGGCGGCTCCCGGCCTGGGCGGCTCC